GCCCTTATGGATACAATGAATTGTCAAGTGTTGAAAAGTGAGATGCCATCAAGGAACGCATGGGCAGGACATCACGTTTGTCCTTTCAGAGTTTCGGCCACAGGCAGAGACTCCTGAAGGGGCAGATAGAGGTGGCAGGTCTCGTCAGGCAGTGCAATTGTGAGGCCGTGTGGCGAGGTGGAGACCAGCACATGGGGTGACTGAGCCACCTCGAGCAGGATCCGGGGGGCCCGCCGCACCCCTGACCAGCTGGACGGCACCCATCCCCGCTAGCCCCCTGCGCCCCCGGCCGGGACACTTTGGTCTGCACCACAGAGCAGAACCTTCTTCGGCGTTCCAGGGGCAGCTGGGAGGGGGGGACTCCAGAACGATGCCGACGCCAGAGGGCTTGAACCCCTTGGTGTCCGCTGCAGCTGCGGGCCTTGGCCTTGCACGAGCCCCTGAGCACGTCGGTGCTTAACTTCCCACCTCGCAAGGGTGTTTGAAAAAGGACCCACTGAAGGAGGGAGGCCTGTCCCCTGCCTCGGACTGCGGAGCCATCTGGTGTCGCCACTGACCTGAAAAGGATTTCAGTGAATTTCAGAGCTGACTTACAGCTGGCGCGGGAAAATCTAAGGGACAGGTGGTTCCCTGTACAGCTGTGTGTCGGATAGGGGAGGCAGGGAAGAAAATCCCACCTTGGCTGAACCGCCATGGTTTTCTAGGATCTGCCATAGCTCCCTGACCCTTGGCCATGATAATGACCACATCAAGGCAAATAATACTTCTCCCTTCCTTTCATTGAAATAATCTCAGCAGGTTAATGAATCTAAGATTTTAAGTGAGCGTATCAAGTGACGGATGGATGAGAAGGACTGGTTATTCGCTGGGAGGGTTCTCTCAGTAATAGGAGTCTTATTCTGGTGGTGTGCAGACTCCTGGGTCTTTGGGGGGAAAGCCACGGATTGCTCTATCGAAGCAATAGAACACCTGAATTGGTAGTTCTGTGTTTATCCTGCAAATTGAAGATAACTTTAATCCAACACTGTTTTTAAGTGCATTATTTTGCGCCCTGTAATGAAGCACAACTTCTTTGTAGCCCAAGAAAAGTAAAGAATAATTTTGACTTTTTTAAAAAACTTGCTCTAAACAAAACCCTTGGACTGTATACCCGGGTTGTTTTGAGGAGGACTGGAGGCAGCCCTGGTTTTTTCTCGCTGATTGAGAGGTAATGAAACCAAAGTGGCTAAGGCACAGAGGAAGTCAGCTCTTTCTGCCCAAGCCACTCAGGAACCAAACGTACGAAACTGAAAGTAGAGTCCGGGGCGATCGCCCCAACCCTGTTGTCTTCCCCAGAACCCGCCTGTTGGTGCAAGTTCTGTGCCTGAGGATACCCAGCTGAGACTATAAGCAAAGGCAGAAATTCAGCCCAGACCCCGCTCACCAAGCCCGGGGCCGGGGAGGAGCCGTGCCCACCTTTCCCAAAGCTGCTCGGTGTGTTTCCCAAGCATAGCACCGAGGGGGCTGAGCTGCTGGGTGGGGGGCCGGGAAGCAGATCGCCGGTGTCACCCACGATGTTCTCCTGTGCATTACAGCTGCAGCCAGAGCTGTTCTTGGCATCATCTCCAAAGTCCTTGGTTCAACTGGGTGTGGAGTAAAGGAAGCGAGAGCTATGCACAGGCTGGGGAGGGTCTGTCGCAGGAACCCAGATTTCACTGTATCAGCTGTACAGAGAGGACCCTGGACGAAACTGGAAGGAGTCTGAGATTTGAGGTGTCTTCCCATCTGTCCTTTTGGACATGAGACTCCTCTCCGCATTCCTTTCCTCTCTGCGTCCCCATCTCCTACTGCTCACTTGCCTTTCCCCAAACACACGCGTGTGCGCGCGCGCACACACACACACCACACACACACCACACCGCCTTCTATTCACTAAGAACTTTGTTTAAGAGGAAAGTGCTTTAGCCAAACGTACACAAAGATGTAAACCGCTAAGAACAATTAGCTGATCCTATCCCCATGGGGAGCATCTTAATACTTAAATCGGAAACAAACTGCATCGTCCTAGTGTCTTTCGGTCGTCGGTTGTTGAAAACAGGAGCGCTTCCTGTGTTCCCAAGACCTTCGCGTCTGGGCCTGAGCTCGTCCAGTTGGACCCACGCATGGGATTCACTCAGGAGCCTCATCTTTGCTCCTTGGTGCTTTTATCTTTTCACTGATTCAGTTCTCCATTTGCAGCGCCCCTGCCCTTCCTTCCACCACCCCGTGTGCCGGTCTGGACTTCCTTCTCAGCTCTGAGGTTGGCCATGCTGCCCTTTCTTCTTTTTCTTCATCTTCTGAAATGCTTTCTCTCTGGGCAAGCACATGCCACTCCACCCCTCGGTCTTCTTTCTTCTAAGCTCCCTGCTCCCCAGATCCGTCGGCTCGAGGGTATCAGACTCTGCCTCCATCCAGAGCTCTGGTCATCGCGGGTGAAGTTACGAGCTTCCCCATTGCTCCCATCTCCAGCGGCCAACACTGTGAGCCCAGGAGAGGGAGAGAAGAAATTACTGAGATTCCGTGAGGAGCTTTCAGAAGGCAGGGGTTGTGTCTCTCTCTGCTTTTCTTGCTATACTAAGCCCAGCAAGGCGTAGTTGGTATTTTTGTCTTCTTCTTCTTCTTAGAGTGATTACAGTGGGTTGTTGGAAGCTAGGACCTGACTTCCCTGTTAAAACTTATTCTTAGATCTGAAGCAATTCCTATAGTGAGTCTTGGGCTCACATCATGCCACTGAAGCCAGAGTCACTCGTTAAATTGAACATTTCAGTAAAAATCAATCAATCAACCAATCAATCTACATCAGGCCAAGTGAACTCTGGTCACAGAAATCAAAATAGCTGAAGTGAAAAACTCCTCTAAAATTTGGCCAGTCTGGGGCACCTGGGTGGCTCAGCCAGTTAAGCATCTGACTTGATTCCGGCTCAGGTCATGATCTCGGTCCTGAGATTGAACCCCGCGTCAGGGTCCACATTGAGCTTGGAGCCTGTTTAAGATTCTCTCTCTCTCTCTCTCCCTCTCCATCTGACCTACCCCCAACTCAGTCTCTCTCTCTCTCTTTCTCAAAAATAAATAAATAGTAAATAAAAATGGTCAGTCCATCTGTGATTCTTTCAAGAAACTTAACGACTTTCAATTTCTTCCATCACATCTGTGAACTCCCACATTTTAGGAGTTTCTGATCCTTGGATGCCTGTAGTTTGAGCGCCAAGAAGCAGTGATCATCTTCTGCTTTGTCCAGAAGGTGAAGGTTTTGTATATTTTGTATAGTTTAGTCTTGGAAGACTAAAGCAAAATCAAATATACAAGTTTCCAAATGTCTTTTCTAAATGAGGAGGAAGTATCATAGATGTGTTTAGAAATGCTGAATGAATGGAATTGAACTTTATTTTCTCCTATGCTTTAAAGATTTTGTTTATTTGTTTGCTTGTTTGTTTAGAAAGAGAGAGCAAATGAATGAGTAAGCACACGTGCATGACGGGGGAGGAGCAAAGGGAGAGGGAGAGAATCTGTCTCCAGCAGACTCGGAGCTGACTGCAGAGCCTGATGCAGGGCTCAGTCCCACGACACCGAGATCATGACCTGAGTCGAAATCAAGAGTCAGACATTGAACTGACTGAGTCATGCAGGCTTCCCTCTCTACTCTTTTGAATGAGTTTTTGTTTTGAAAAACGACAGTGCCAACCTTTGATGGCTTGCAATGCCAACTCCCTGTTGTCAACTCTGCCTTTTTTTTTTTTTTACTCTTCTTAGTCTTGTTTACTTTATTCCCCTAAGTAGAACCAAGGCTGATGCCAGAGTGCTGTGCATTTCTTTCATGGTCCTTGGTGAATGTACTCTGTGTGGTGTGAGTGAGTGCCTCTCCAAGCCCTCCCCAGCTCCCTGACCCCATGCTTTAGGGTACTCAAGCACAACTCAGGGTCAGATATTTCCAGCCTTCATGAGCACATCTCCCCGCTTTCCTGCCTCCGCACAACTTACAAAGACAACTCAGCTCTGAGGCATCATCTTTTATCTTTAAATTTTTAAAGATTTTGCCCACCTCCCTTTCCCAAGCCTGACTGTGCTAAAACCTACCTGCTGATGAACAGACCATTAACCAGCATCGCTATCTGATTTAAACCGCTGTGCTAACCAGCATCTTTGACTGCAAACTGAAGGAGGGGCCAGCCATCCTTCAGAATGCAGAAGTAATGGTGTAAGGCTTCAGCACCATTTTTTTGGGTGGAGGAAGGTGGCTGGGAAGAGGGCTTTGCTGGTTTCTCCTGGGGGGCGTTCAGCCCAGACTCCCATCAGCTCTTAGATAATCAGGAATCAAAAGTTGCCAGTTGGTGTGCTGTAGCCCTACGTAATAAGACGTGGGACAGTGTGTGCAAACACGTGTCTGGGTGTGTGCCCACCTATACCATAACAAAATTCCCAAACTGGTTAAAACAGCCCTACATTTTGGCCAACAAATACTGAGTATCTCATATATGGAACTTTGCATTATATACTATTGTTGGAGATAAAAAAGAAAGAAGGAAGCAGCATCCCAGCTTTTCAGAACCTGAAACGGTTCAACACCGTTGAGTTTAGACAGTGTTTTAAAAATGTGATGTTCTGGAATATTCTTTAAGGAAATGAGAGTGACTGCAAGTCTCTGCCATTGTCACTGTGATTAAGCCCTTCTCTGTATGCGCTCGCTACACCAGCCCCATTAACATGTCACCCACCACTTACCCACCCCCCCATCCCTGAAGAGCTGCGTTCCGGGTGGTTGGTCCACAGAGTCATGAATTGAGCTCCACGCGGGTAAAGCTCGTAAATATGGTTTGGGTGAACGGCACTGGTAAAAGCCTGAGATGTTATTACTCTTCTCATGCCACTTTGTTATTTTTAAATTGCGCGTCCTTTTAAGTTGATTATTTGTTCGCCATAGTCTCCGTTATATCTAAGCAAAGCATTCACAGAAATTTCTAAAACCTTTTCATTTCTCTCTGTAGGTTGTTGTTTCGTAACATTTTATACAAGAAAAGCTGCACTTGAGGCCCAGAATGCACTGCACAATATTAAAACTTTACCTGGGGTGAGTCGGTTTACTTTTGTACCAAAATCACTTTATTGCTTGAAAATGGTCCTTTCAACTGAAGGTTCTAGTTATGGGCTCTTAGTGGCAAAAATGACTTTGGTCTTTTGAGGAGTATGAGCTGACCCCTCTCTTCCCCCCTGCAGCAGTCAGACCAGCTGGCCGGCCCAGAAAGGACTGGCATTAATGCTGATGGAAAGAGCTCTCAAATAGTACGTCCCCTGGTCAGAAAATCAGAGTGACCCCACTGGGTAGCAGCGGCTGTCAAAGAGTATTGGGTGGGCTAAGATTTTAAAAGGGAAAAGAAAAAAAAAAATCCAACACACAGGAGAAAAGCAGATGGAAAAGGAAAAGCTTTTACTCACCACGAGCCCCTTTTGAAATTTAGTCTCAGATTTTCTTTTGAAAGGACAAAATGTACCCTGTACAGCCATAATATTAAACCTCCTAATGGTTTCTCAACAGTCATTGGTGGTTAACAAAGTCAATGTTTTAATGCCTAATTTGTGGCTTCATGTTGATAGAGAACAGAAAATACGAAGCTTACAATTTTTTTTTTCCATTTCCTTCCTGGTAATATTTGATTAGTACAATTCACTAGAAGCAAACTGATGTTGTATGTAACTACTGCATCCGAATACATGATTTCTGGGGTTTTGTGGCATTTTTATATATTGCATGCTGGTGTAAAGTGTCCTGTGCTATTTGTCTATTTTCCCCAATGACCCGAATATCGGTGATGAATTCATTTACTATCCTAACGGTGTGTATTGGTTCTAATGAAGAACTTGTGGTGAGCCATGCGATAATAATTTCATTGCAACCTGGTTTGATCAAAGTATAAGAAAGATAATACAGTGTCCCTCGTGTTTTCAGGGAGTGATTCTGGCTACCATTGTGCCGTCTCTGTAGACACACGGACACCTGTGTGTACACAGGCTAACATACGCACACAGGCATTTGATGACCCATCACCCCAGAGAAGAGAACATTTGTTTAAATCACCTTAGGTCCATTGAAAATTTCATAGCATTTTGTAGTGGCAAGCTACTCAAGAAAACGTTTTCCAAACATTAGCTTCTTAGCCACCCCAAAATAATAAATTACGAACCGTGGTCTTCAATCCCACCCTATGGCTTTTCCCTTTTCCTTAGAGGAAATCAAAGAGCAGAAGAATCAGAAAAGCAAGCATGGCATAGCAGACTTCGCCCTCCCTGTTTTGCTACTTCTCCCTAAAACTTTTAAGGTGGTTTTAGTAAAAGCTTTTAGGACATCTAAGTGCTTTTGATCAATGACTTTTTTTTTTTTTTTTAAGTATTATTTCAGCTTTGTTTTCCTTATAAATGGAATTTTTTCAATGTAAATTCTAGAAGGTCGCAGGGTTAGGTCACATTACCAAATGAAGAAACCAAGGCAAATACTTACAGGCTCAGTCAATAATAAGAAAATTTTTTGGTTTTGGGGGGGTTTTTGTTTGTTTGTTTTATTTCTCAGTCTCCTAATCACACCGAAAGACCACTTTGTATCCCTTCTTTTAAAAAGAAATACTTTATAGTAATCAGCACACAAAATCCCTTCTAGGTATGTTCAAAAAAATTCCCGAGGTGATGAATTTATTTAGCATTTAGGGTATATATCACATTCTAATTTAAGTTAATGCACAGCTGGGGGCATTTGAATTCATCCACTCCACTAAAACTTGCACAAGTCCTCAGGATGCCGTCCTTATTGGCGAAGACACTCTCAGGAAGCCCCGAGTTCATATGATGAGTGGGCCGTGTTGAAAAACCTACAAGGGGGGTAGCAGGTCTGCTTCTGTTTAGGACATCTTACCCTGACCCTTTCCTAGCAAACAAGGAACATCTTCAGTATTTAAAAAAAAAAAAAAAAATTGCATATATGGTCTGTTTTTCTCTCCTTAAAAATTCTGCACGCAGAAATCTGGAGCGGTGATTTTGGAGACCCGTTAGTAAGCGCAAGAGTTCTGGAGTTGGAAAAGATGGCTTGGGGTTGTTTTTTGGTTTTCTTTTTCTCCGGTTCGGCTTCCTATGCCCCATGACCTACAGCGGGTTAGAGGGAAATTGTGAGGAGTCTGGTCTGATTTGTAGGCTCCCGTCCTTCCCGGCACACACCGTGGGTACATTCGCCACTTCAAATGAGGTAAATGGGCACAGGGCTCCCTATGTTGCATTTAGGGATAGTTCTGTCTGAAAAAACAGCACCCCGAACAGCTAGAGGCAAAACATGAAAGTTGCTTTCCTTTCAGCTGCGAGCTTTTGGTGGACAGAAAGCAATGGGACCAGACATAAAAGATTAATGCATTTTTGGGGGAAAAAATATTACAGGGTGGCTTGCTGTTTGATTACAAGCCTTGGAATTAGTCAACATTTCCATAATTCTAAACCAATATACACCTGTTTTCCCACTGTGATGTGAAGGCACAACTTAATTTAACAGAACCCCTGCTGTGCTAAATCTCTCATTAACTACCAAGTGAGTTCGGTAATTTAAAGTTGTAGCACTACTATTTTAACTGGTTGCCTTCGTATTATGAAATTAATAAGAAATTAATGATGCACTTTGCCATATGCCTTCAATTTCTTTCTGAATAAAAATAAAAGGGATAAAGAAAAATGCATCAGCAGCTGACACTTTAAAGCTTTTCTGGTTGTAATCATTTTTTCCTGCGGATAAAATCCATTAAAAAGGCACTTGCTGCTTCTTTTTTCTCCCCCTAAAGTGTCCAAAACTTTCAATTTAAAACAAGATCAAATAGTGCTGGGTTTCCCCCCACCCAGTTTAATTTTCTTTTGCAGCTGACGTTTTATATCATAGGGAACTTTCATCGTGCACCCATACTTGATTGATGGTTAGGGACCTTTCAGTCTTGAGAAAAAGCAAAGAACTCAGTATGGCAGAGGGAAAAATGCTGATGGGACTGTCTTACTCTGTTGAATGAATTTTTCTTTGGAAGCACCCCTCCTTCGTGCCTCGTGTGAGTCTTAGAGACCCTTTCCATAGTGGACGGGGGGTAAGGCAAAAGATCAGGGCAGAGTCATTAAGGATACATTGTTCACCCCGTATAACTGAGGAAGACACGGGGTCTTTCATCCTGTGAAACGCTCACCATAAATCCTAGAAATACACTGTTGGCACTAAAGGGAGCCGATTTAACAGCTCAACCCAGGGAGCAACAAAGAAGGAGCATCTAGGGTCCTTCCCCTGGGCTGACCATGCTCTCCTCTGGAAAGGGAGGCTTGAGGCCTGGCAGCAGATCCCATCTCTGGCACAATGACCTCTCGGTAGGTGAACAAAACACTAACGATTCTCAAGCGCCTGCTGGGCACCAGGCACTAGGCTAGAGCAGGTCACGCGTGCACGCAGGCCTGTCCTAGAGCTGCGGAGTGAGACTCCCGTCACCTCAAGGGAAGACTTCCGGGATGTCAGGCAGGGCCACGTGACCAGCCGTTGGCTTGGCTGCAAAATTGTTAGCCGGGCCTTTTCCGAAGCCCAGCCGTTTGTGTTCCTGGACAGATTTTGGTTGCCTCTGCCTTGACAGTGTCGCAAATCAGGCTCAGAGGTGGCTTCTGTTCAGGAAGGCACAGCCTACCTGGTAGGGGGCGTAGGAGAAATGTCATCGCGCACCATTGTATTTCCCAGAGACAAATCTGTGTGAAGGCAGCTTGCAGGATTCATTTCCGTTCTCACCGACCTGATTTAGCTTAATTAAAAAATAAAATAAAGACCTTAACTGAGGCAGGGGAAGACCACCACGATCCCTTCCGTAATCAGACGCCCAGGGCCACAGAGCCCCCGTGCCAGGGTCAGCACTGCACCTTCTGTCATTGTCTTTTCAAGGTCTCCGCGCATGTTGTCTCTAGCAATAAGGCTTTTCTGATTGAAAATCTACAGCAGTATCGTTAGAGCATTCACTGTATAAATTAATTTAATTAAGGATGTAATAACAGGAATACAGTTTTGGAAAAGCTCTTAAATTTTTACAGCAAGGAGGAATCAGAATCTAAACGTCTTGTAAAATATTAATTGCAAATTTCTTCCAGACATTTTCTCGGCCTGTGCCTTACCCCTTCTCTTCTCTTTAGAATCACGACCAGTTTTATTAAATGCAGTTTCTATGAAGGGGCTTTTCCCGGAGAGAACATTTGTTTAGAGTGCTCCATTTTCGTGGTGGCTGACGGAAAGGTGTTTTTTAATAGCACATGGGACGGGAGCGAGGACTGCACGTAGACTGGAGATATAAAAACAAATGAGCCTCATCCAGTAGGAAGAAGCAGTAAATAAAACTGCGTCCTGGGACCAGTGTGTTCACCCACATGAAGTGAGGCGGCCCCTTCCTGGCTTGCCCTGGAAGACATCATTTCCTGAGGCGGGGAGGCACGCTCCTTCCTCCCCGGTGGCCTTCCTTGCAACTCTCCGTAGAATTGTACCCCTGTGTCCTTTAAGAGCGGAATGCTGGGGTTTAATATGCTTCCACCAGAACAGCTTGGCTCTCCCTGGGACCGAATTCAATTTGCCCATTGTAATGCATTTTGAGGTACTCCTTTTCCTTGAGCCGCCCCCTTCTAATTATTAATATGTGTTTAGCGCCCTTGTTCTCAGAGCCACGATGATTATTTTATCGTTACCATCATCGTTATTATTTCTGTCATAAAATCCCTCACACCCCATCTCATCCTATCTTGGCTATGCCCTGCCCCTCCCCCCCCCACCCGGCCCCGCCCCAAAACCACCTTATTTAATCCAGACCTAAAGAGGCCGGGCTCGATAAAGTTTCTTCTCAAATGCCATTTATTTAAAAACAGCAAGAAACGGCCAAAATATCTGCCCAAGCAGATTTCCGGCCTCAAAATCCTGTTTCATGTAGAACCCAAAGAACATCCATGCACTGCCTCGACGAGTCGCCTCCGAGTCTGTATTGTTGGCCCAGAGCTGCTCTGAGGACTAGAGAATACAGCAGCAGCCACGCCGCCTGGAGCGGA